TGGTAGGAGAGGCATTCTCCTCACAGGTTTAGGCATCTGCTTGGTACCTCCACCTTCACCATCAAAGGCAGTGGCTCCCAACCTTTTTGACAGCAGGGAGAGGTTTCATGGAAGACAATTTCCCATGGATCCGGGGGTGGGGGATGGATTCAGCATGATTCAAGCACATGAGCATTACATTCAAGTTCATCTCCTGCTGGGCAGACCAGTTCCTAACAGGCCCAGAACAGGTCCCTGGCCAGGAGGTTGGGGACCCCTGTTTTAGGGGATTGCTGGGGCTGGAGCGGAGAGAATAGAAAAACAAAAAGCAAAAACAAAGGCAGGGTATTTATTCCCTTTCTGACCCGTGGAATTCCTTTCTACTGCTCAGACCTGGAAGAGAAGACTTTTGCGGAGCTTTTGTTGTCCACATCTGGTAGGTTCTTCAGGGTGTCAACCTGCCATTGAATCCAAGCTGGGCAACATTGGAGAGGGAAAAGCAACACTGCTGGTTGGGTGGTATTTGGAATTCTGATGTCTTTCCCTAATCTACCTGCTAGGCTCTACTTTTTAGCATCCTCAGCAAACACACATTCTGTCAGAGTTTATTTTTGCATTTAATGGAGGCTGGGCAGAGGGTGTTTAACCCATCTTGCCTGGACCTGGAACTGGAATTCAGTTTTAAGACAATTTTTTAAATTATATTTTATTGATTATGCTATTATAGTTGTCCCAATTTTCCTCCCTTTGCCCCCCTCCACCCAGCACCCCCAACTCCCTCAGGCCATCCCCACACCATTGTTCATGTCCATGGGTCATGCATGTAAGTTTAAGTGCAAATAGGTAGTTACCAAATAGCCATGGGGGTGTAAACTACAGTATAGGGAATAGGGTAGACAATTAAAAAAAAAAATCTACAGTAATCTCACTCAAGCCCCTGAACTTCAAGTATGTGGTAGGAGGGAGCTGGAATATTTAGGAAATTTAGAAAACAAAGCTAACCACAGAACCAGAAGAAGTATGCCTTATTCCCCTAGGACTAATAACTAGATGAATATGTCATGAAAATGATACAGCCATTGCACTTGAAAATCTCTTGAGATTGACACATTAATTCATTAAAATATATCTAAGACAAAGTCTATAGTTTAGAAAATGCGTTCTGCTAAGGCTGATCAGGTAGGAGTCACAGTAGACTTCAAACAAACAAACAAACACAAACAAGCAAAACAATCCCCTCATTCTCATTTAAGTACAACACACACATCTCTTCTGGAGTAGAGAGGCCTATTGTCTTTTGGGTAGAATGCAAAAAGTATATTTTTATCCTAGCATTTAATCTGCCTCAGCAGTATCGAAGGCTGGGAGTGAAGATGAGTGGGTCCTGTGCTACTGTCTTACCTTAGCCACCCCTCATTTATATTTCTTCAACTGTTGGTCAAATCTCAGACCAATACTTTTGTCATAACAAACAAGATGTATGGGTTCTACTTTCTATAAGAAATGTTTCTTTGTAGATCTATATTATAAAGAACTACTTTCTAAATAAGCAATTAATAGCTTGGAAACTACAGGCCTATGATCTCAAAAATGCTAATTGTGATCCTGGCTTCTGACCCAGGTTTCAAATAGGAATGTGTTTGGTGACAAATAACATTAAGCCCAACCACCTTGCTTAAACACCTAAGAATTTGTCTATGTCACAAGAAGCCTGGGGCTCAACATAATCTTCCACAGTATGAAAGATGCATTAATAATCTACTTATAAACATAGTCTCCTATTGTTGGACATTGTTTTGTTTCCAGTTAGGTTATTCTGTTTAAAAACATGCGAAAAGATGCTCAATATCATAGCAAAGAAGTCTTTATACCTGTACCCTCACAGTGTTTTTCAGGTTTTGGAAGATTATGCCAAGCTCCAGGCTTGCTGTGCCATAGACAAACTCTTGGGTGTTTAAGCCAGTGTTGGTTGGGTTTTATGGTATTTGTCACCAAACAAACACCAAGTAAACAGCCACCATAGCTGTTGCCTTCTGTTGCAGTTATCTATTGCTGTGTAAAAAGCCACTGCAAGTTCTAATAACCTAAAAACAATTATTTATTTTGCTCATAATTCTCAATGTGGGCAGAGCTTAGTGGGGGAGATTCATCTCTGCTCTACACAGGTCAGCTAGGAAGCCCAACCAGGCCTGGGCAATCTACTTCCAAGACGGGCTTAGATGGCTCACTCACCAACTGATAGCAGGGGTCTCAGCCAGAGCTGTTGCAGGGAGCCTCAGTTCCTCTCCACATGGACCTCCTACAGTGCTGCCTGACTTCCTCACAAGTTGGTTGGGTTCCAAGAGTGACTATTTGAAATTACAGAAATTAAAAGCAGCCAGTCTCTTGAGATTCAGCCCAGAAACTGCCACAGCGTCATCTTTGTTGTATTCTTTTGGTCAAAGCAGTCCCAGAGTCTGTCCAGTTTTAAGGGAATGGGCATAAACTCCACTTCTCAACAGGAGGAGTACCAAAAAAATTCATGGCCATTTTAATCTACCATAATCTTCCTTTGTACTGAGTCTTCCTAGAGTTGTCAAGAAGTTGTGCTTGCTATAACCAAGCCACGCTCTGTTCCCTGCAGAAAGGTGGAAGATGCCTCTCTATCTTCCTGACTCTGTGTCACTTGGTGTCCCATCCAATAACATTGGAAGATGATGTTACTATTTAAAATTTATTGGGTATGGATGGCTGGGTTGATAGTGGTGGGCAGGGTGAGTGATGGTATGAAAGACAGACATTAAGAGGTCAGTGGCTAAAGACCTACGCAAACTCAAAAGCCATTTTCACTTGAGATCTCACGTTCTTAGACCCACATGCAAAGAGGAAGCATGGTCCCATGATCCCATGACACATTATGGTAAGATATACAATAGATATGAAACTTCCTTTATCTTACAGATAAAAAGCTTGAAGTCCAGAAGGCTAGTCCAAAACCAGAAGTCTGGTTTAAATGGACAAGACTCTAGAATCCAGAAAAACAAGCACATTTTGAAGATGCATCCTGTTAAATGAAAAACCCTCTTCCAACTGAGCTGCTGAGTACATTCAAGTATACAACTTTGAGCAGAGCTGTTAGGGAGAGCTGAGTTGCTCCACCTAAGAATGCATTCTCCCTGGAGTTGTGGGCCTGGGCAGGAATAGGGTAGGGGAAGAAAGAGGTGGCCTGAGAGACCCAGGCTGCCATGAGCTTCCACCCCCGGCAGTTCCTCAGTGGGCCTGAACATGGTGGCTGGGCACCAACTGTTAGCGGGACCTGGAAAAGGGATATAGTTTCAAGTTCAGATTAACCCTAGGAACAGGTACCTATGAAGGAGCTAGGGATGCTGGAGACCATGGGAGAGTAAACCCCTCAGGATGGGCAGAATTGCTAGGAAGCTGTTGGGTTTCCGCAATTCATGGAAAAGTCATAATTTTGAGTTGTTAGCCAAATTACATAAGTCAGTGGCATAATTAATGCTAAAACATAGATCTTTGATTCCTGTTTCAATGCCCTTTTCCATCAAAATGGGGTTTCATAGATACACAGAGGACTTCCTGGTGGCCAGGGATTAAAGACAGCACAGAGCCCAGAGCAAGGAGCTGTGTAAACAAGAAAATAAATTCTGGATTCGAATGGACTCTGCTTCCACACTAATTCTTTCTTCAACTTCTCAGTCTGATTTACTCGCTTACTTTTCCTACTGTCCAATCAGAAAACCACTATTAGTATAAATCAAATGCAGATCAGATCTGCCTCTAAATCTAGGAAGCAAGTATAAATTCCAGCCAAGATGTTCAAAGAAGCCATATTAAAGCACTAAAACCACAGCATGTCTAGTCCTTGCAGGCCTCTGAATCAAGCCTCTTTGAGCTCAGTGATGACATTCATTTGCCTGTGAGGGTTATTACTCACAGGGCTAGCTATTACTCACAGGACTGGCTGCATCACATGTCTTCCTCCTCAGAAGGGGAGATCACTTGGGGTTTAATGCTTTACCTGTCACCATCTTAAAGTTCTTAACAATTTTATCTTTGAATGTGTGTTTTATAAGTGAAGTCCAATGGGACAACAGAGAAAGTACTGGAGGACCGGACCTCATTACGCATGTCGTCCTGCCTCCCGGGGATAGGCTGTTTACTCTCTTGTCTGCTTCCCCACCCCTGCTCAGTGACCTCTGGCATCTGCCCTGGCAGGGGTCAGGACATAGCTCAGTGCAATGTGCACCGAGCCATGGCCTAGGCCCAGTGCCGGAGGGTCTGTGCTCCCTCCACACATATCCTCATTCCTAAAAGAGCTACACATTAAATAGCAGATTAAAGACAAACAAACAAACAAACAAATACCATGATTGGTCAAGAAAAAGCTTTATCCTGCTTTTTGAACAGGGAGTCCAAATTTTCATTTTGCACTGGGCCCCATGAATTACGTAGCTGCCTCTGATTAGATACCTTATCTGGTAATCACAAGCCAGTATTATTTTTAGATTTTTAACTAAATAGCTATAACACATATGGAATAATAACTCTTGATTTTACTAAGAAAGTAGTTTTTTGCTTTCAAGACCTCTTAGTATTAAACACAAAATTTCATTAGTTCAGTAGAAGAAGGAAAAAACCTCCATATTATTCTTGCCAGCAGGTATGATTAACAAGAGAAAGTCTGGATCTGTTGTTGTGACTTGACAGTATGATGCATGAAATGGAAAAATGATGGAATATTTTTTCACTGAGGCAGCCAGGAAAAAAATCACTTATTTCTCCACAGTAAAAATAATTACTCCATATTTTCTATCACAGTATGGAAAGTTTTAAAAAAACTTGTTACTTTTCTCCAATGTTGGTGTTTGCATATAAATATGGTGTTTTTCCATTATCTATTTAACATCATGTTAAAAGAGCCATAGACCAGTGACAACAAAGGAATCAAGAGGAAGTGTAAGAAATGACTTTTTATTTGTTTTTAGTTTTGAATTTGCATCATATTTTACTATCTTTCTTACCTTAAGCTTGGCCAGAAGAAGTTCATGATCATGAAGAAGTTTTTGGGTTTCATCTTGATTGCTACCAATTTCTAAAATATTGGGCTGTGATTCAGCCAGCTGAAGTTGTATCCATTTGCCACACTAAAAATAAAAATGAAATGAAAAGCACTTTTAGTTCCCCTTGTTCTTTCTCCTTCACCCTTCTCTTTTTTTTTTTTTTTTTTTTTTTTTTAGTTGCCAGTTACACTGTGAACACTTTATTCTTTCCACAGAGATGGGCCTTAATCAACTGAAATACAACAGATCTAATATCCATCCATGCCCTGACTTTTCCTTTTTTATGCTTAGGGTAAATTCTTTTCTCTTGGAATGTTGAATTTAAATTTAAAATTCCCAAATAAGGAACACATACAATAGATTACATATTATAGACCACTACAGAATTACAAAATATTTCACATTAATTGTACATTCTCTCACTCACAAAAATATTTTCCATAAAAATAGTGAAATTCTACTTGGGCAAGTAGGATGTAAACTTCACCAACAGGACGAAGGTTTTGTGGATGTCTTTTAGGCTAATTAGTGTCTTTACATTGACCTTGGTAGTTCAACCAGAAAGAAAAAAAAAACAGACGAAGTAACTGATTTGCATCTTGTTTTGAAGTTAAAACATAACATTTTTTAACTTTTGTTGTTGAGTATTCAATAAACTATGCAGGAAAATGTCAATAAAATTAGGCACATGTGACACCTGCCCTTTGAAAGCAGCCAACTTGTTCGCCACAGTCAGGCCTGTCACAGCGCAAAGACGCAACCGATCAGGGCGTTTCCTAAGGAACCGCTTTTCTAAGAAGCAACAACTGATTGAAGAAAGAGGTACCACTAACAGGCACGCATCCACGGGTAGGTGAAGCGCTGAAATCAGAAAAACGCCTGTCTATTCTAGATAATTAGTGCCCTGAGACTGTTTGGAAACAAGAGCCCCAGGAAAGTCAGACATAGGCACTTCAATTCCTTAAAGATGGACTTTGCACTTTGAATCCTTTGGGGTTTATTTTACATGGGATGGCAGTGAGTCCTTAGAGCTGGGGAGGGGAGATGAAGGGAAGGTTCTTAGAAACGCAGTTAACATAGGAATTCCCAGTGTAATTTTAGAGGGTTTTTTTCTTACTGTCACTCTACCTCCGACTCTCCTGTAATTCATTCCATATGCACAATTCCTTATCCTGCTCTAAAAAATACTTCACATTTGAGGGAAAGTTAATTTTTTTAGATAGTGAGTTTGCCTCTTTATTCGCAAAGGTGGTGAAATTTGCAGATACTAAAGCATCATAAAATCACATGCAAATGATCAGTTTTTGCTCCTTTTGCTTCAGGATTTTTCCCCACGCCCACTCATTGCCTTTGAGGACAGGAGAGGGCGGGCAACCCCGCCGAGGCCCTGTTTCCGTGGGGCCTGGGCTCAGCAGTGCTGGGAAGGGCCCTGCCGGGAGCACACTGCGTTCAGGGCAACGAAGGTAAATTGTGTTGCTCAGTGTCAAGCACTGCTTTCCTGTTACAATTTTCACATTAACATGAAATTCACAGAATTAAGTGAAACTAAACAGACCATTGTCATCCATGCTCTAATCAAAGGCCAGAAAAGCCCTTCAATTAAGCCTGGGGCAGGGAGGGGAGGGCGAGGGGGGAGGGTCCTGAAAGCAATTGGCTGGTAAGCACCAGCCTGTCTGCTGAATTCCCTTCATTAAACACAGAATTTCTTAGTGGTGAACTGCCTAAATCCAAGCACAATGCTTCATGGGGTTTTGTAGGGCATTTTCATGAGAAAGAAAACCATGGTTGTCTTCTTCAACCTAAATATGTGTTATCATCTTTGCAAATGGGCAAACTGCTTGACATAAAATGTGTCATAAAACATAAGCCCCCAGTGGCTTCAGCTTCGTGCTGTTAAGAGCAAATCTGACACATGCCCTTTGCACTTCCCCTGGCAGGGTCTTCATTCTCCCAACAACGTGACAAGGACGTACTAGTGCCTTTACCATGTCACAGCCAGAGCCTCTTACTAGGTGTCCTCGGTGTTCCATCGCGCTCAAAACAATGCCACCCCCTATCTGCTAGGACTTTCCTCTTGCCTCCTCCTCACGCCCACTCTCAAAATTCACACATATTTCACAGGTCCACTTGACTCTTCAGCCTGGCAATCGTGAATGCCTTGCCTTTAAAAACCACATTGAAAAAAAAACTGTTTAATTCTTTTTTTTAAATTTTTTTTATTTTGTTTTGTTAACCCAGCTGCTGTAAATGTTTTCTCACTGACTGAAAGAGAAACTGTAGTAACTGGCTGAAACTTTAGAGGCTTTTCTTAGCTGCCGCTTTAAGAAAAAGTACTAAGATATACTTGCTCTGTGATCTTCTATATGTTGTGTACTGCTGATTGTGTATAATGTTCTTTAGGTTTATCAACACACATCAAGACGCCCACAGCCACACAGAAAAAAGAAAGTTGTCAGCTTACCTTTATGACAGCTATAACGATTTTAGAGTCCCCAGCTTGCACAGCTACTGAACTGACTGTTGTCGTAGAAAACTCCACTCCAGGACTTCCTTGGCTGGACATGGTACTTTAGAACCAGAGTTTATGCTTTGGTCAGCCTTTGTACAGATGTGCATCTGCTGGTCATTTCAGAAGGCACCCACGGGGGTTACTTGGATTCATTCAGGGGAAGAGCTCAGCTCGCACTGATTACTCTGCCAGAAGGAAAGAACAGGAGGTTAAAAATAGACAACCCCATTGAGTTTATCATGAGGGAGAGAGAGAGGAGAATGGGAGAGAATCGCCACACCCCTAGTATGGTAACACTAAGCGCCTGTTATTTTTGCCATTATCTTAAATGTAGAGGGCAGCTTCTAGCTCTCTTTCTATCAGCTGATGTTTGATAGCAAATGGGGAAAAAATTACATTTTGACAACCCAAATTAATTTTGCCATTCAATCTATATAGTTACAGTGGACTTTGAAACCAGCCAGTCATTGACCTGGGTATCAACTTTTCAAGACTTTTGAAGTCTCTTTTATGCAAAGGAAAGCTTCCTAAATGCACTTTAAAAATAAGTTCTGGTATTTGGTTTTGGGATTAGGCAAGCTACAAAACTGCTTGAAATATATTTTTAGAATAATCTACTTTTCTAAAACTTATTGCCTTTTGTCAAATAAAGTTTTTATGGAATAATCATATTTTCTCAAAGCCTCAGATTTCTTAGGGACATTACGAAAATATTTCAACAAACATTTATCAGCAGGTACCTACCATTTCAGAATTTCTTTGTGAGTACTCCACAAACAGCATTTTTAAACTCAGTTATCACAAATATTAAGAAGTAATACACTTTGCTGTTACCTTTTAATTGCAGCAAGAATGCTTTTGTTTGTTTAATTGAAGTTTAATACTATGTATATTTTTCTGCAATGAAATAAAAGATAACATTCTACTTCAGATTTGGTTTTTATTCTCCCATTGCCTGTGCAGGAAAATTATAGACAGCTTTAAATCAGAGCCCAAGATTGGCAGATTAATCCTATTGCTAGAAACCAGTGTGTCACAAGTTGTCTCTGGTATTAAACAGCAGCTGTTGGATCCCTGTCAAAGAACAGCTGAAAATAACACTGATGTGTGGGTTAGAGGTCAGATACAAACACATCAGAGATACTGACTCCAGCGCAGTTGGAGCCATCAGAAATCTCTGGGACAAAGCCAGAATGGAGGAGATAGCTATAAACAGTTAAATGAGCCTACCCCGCTGTTAAAGCCTCAGCTCAATTTAAAAGCACATTCAGGTTGAGGGCAAATGTTCAGAAGACTGAGTCAGCACCTGCTGCTTTGTTTTGCTAAGGTTCATGATAACATTCTTGAGTGGGGGGGTGGGGGAGTGCTTTTACATATATTTCAGTATTCAGTGATTACTTTTGTTTTCCAGATCATGGCATGGCAGCTCCACAATTAGTTACCCACGACGGAGGGTCTGCTCTCAGCACCTGCCTGCTGCTCCAGCATGAGAAAACCAGCTCTTGGACTTGACAAACTTTACCCGATGCCATGAAGGGAGCATTTGGAGCAAGCTCAGGAGACTAGATGCCAGGACACCATGATGTAGAAAACATTGTAAATGGTATCATTTTATGGGAGGGATGGAGAACTTGCAGAGAAGGAACCTGACCTCTTTGTTGAGGTTGCCTAGATGTTGCAGACAGGCTCTTTCAGCTTGAGCACACCTCCCTCGAAATAAACCAAAACAAACTAAAGGAAACTAGTTTTCAGCTAATTGCCCTCAGGAAAAACCAAGAGTTGCTAACTGTGTCACACCCTAAATTAAAATGCTCAAAGGAGCATTGCTTAAGTCATTGTGTACATTGCCATCAGAAAAGCAAACAGCGACCCACACCCAAAATACACAGTACACTTTCACCCAAAGTTAATCCTATTGTTAGAAACTCAGTATTTATCATAAATTGCATAAAGGCCCTCAAGAAGAAAAGGGAACTTTTGGCTGCAAGATGCAAAGACCATGGCTCGAAAAAGAGTGGTTATGTCCACAAAGCCCCACTTGAGATGGATGATTGTGTAAGGGGTGTGGAGGGCAGCGTGGAATGTGTGGAATCGCAGGCCCACACCAAGGAAAAAGGAGAAAGAAAGAGGAGGGAGAACAAGGCTGAAAGTCTGATTAGTCCAAACTAGTGGGGGCGGGGGGAGGTTAGAGTGTGGAGGGGTTGAGCAGAAAGGAAGAAGGACTCATGCACACGGACGACAGTGTGGGGATTGCGTGGAGAGGGGTGTTTAAGGGGACTAAATGGTAATGGAAAAAAAGATAATGAAGATTAAAACATTTTAAAAATTTAAAAAAGAACAAAGGGAATTAAAAATTTTTAAGACTGTTAAAAAATGAATCCAGTTATTCAGTAGGAAAGGTGGTGCATATTTACATTGATGGCCTTTCTGTTAATTAGATGAAGCATAAATTTAGGTGGTGAACAATTTTTTTTTAATTCCAATTCCTGGCCTTAAAATCTTCAAGACACTTGAATCACTTTTTTCCCCTCCCCTTCCCTTGCTTTCTGTTTTTCTTCCTCTTCCACTTTTTAGTCCTTCCCCCTACAGGAGCTCTGTTGATCAGGCCCCTTCATCCACATCTGACTCATTTAGAACCTTCGCCTATGATCTTCATCTGGCATAATAATTAATTATAAATTGCATAACTAACTGATAAGCAGTTTAGAGGACAGTTAGTATAAAATATCTTATTCTAAAGAAATCAGTACACTATAATCAAATGGCTTTTTAAAAAGCTCTTTAAGTTACAGTTTGTTTATATTCTGCCTCCCCCATCATCACCAACAAAAGAAAAAGCCCCAGAAAACAAAACAAACCTAAATACCTTATAGGCATTCTCATGTCCTTTGAAGTTTATAGAGGATCTTGCAGAGGATATTATGCAGTCTATGTTTATACCCCTGGGAAATGTCTGATTTTATACCAGCTGAATTTTAGTGAAATGTCCTCCATGGGGAATCAAAAAACTATAAATGGATTCTGTTGATTTGCAAATAACACTTTTTTTCCCTCATTTTTTTTATTGTGGTAAAATACACATGACAAAAAATTTACCATCTTAACTATTTTTAAGTGCATGGCTCAGCGATGTTAAATACACGGATAATGTGCCACCATCACCAGCGTTTATCTCCATAACTCCTTTAGTCTGTAAAACTGAAACTCTACCTGTTAAACAGTACTCTCCATTCCCCTCTCTCCCAAACCCCTGTCAACCACCATTCTACTTTCTGTCTCTATGATTTTGACTACTCTGAGTATTTCATATAAGTGGCATCATGCAGTATTTTGTTGCTTTGCAACTGGCTTATTTCACTTACTATAATGTCCTCAAGGTTCATCCATGTGGTAGCATCAAGGGGGGAGCACCTCCCCCCAAATGGAATTATCTTCTGGAAGGTGGGCCCTTGTAGCATAGGCCTTCCCCACTAGGTGAGTATTCTAGGAACACATCTGTATCAGTGTACCAGCTGGTGTTGTTGTGAGAGGCTGCATTTGGCTTCGACAAATTTTTTTTTTAAGACTCTTTCAATGTGATTGCCCATTTCATGATGGGTGATATATAAGCGCACCTGTCCACACTGCACTGAGTGTTCAGCAGTTTTTGACCAAAAACAGCATGACCTCCATGCTCCACCCTTCCTATTCACCTAATCTCGCCCTGAGCAGTATTTTCTCTTTTGTTTCCCCAGATGAAAACAGTTCTCAAAGGAAACGTTTTGTAGATGTGAAAGAGGTGAAACCAAAAAAAGGCAGAAGCACTAAAAAGCGTCAAAATCGAGTTCAAAAACTGTTTTGTGAGTGGAAAAAAATGTCTCAGTAGGTGTATTGCATCAAATGAAGAATACTTTGAAGGTGACTGAAGTTTAAACATGTAAGAATAAATACACACTATTTAATAAATAAATTCTGGGTTTTTGAGAGTCCTCCTTCGTGTGTCCAAATTCCCTTCCTTCTAAAGGCTGAGTAACATTTTGTTATATATGTGAGTGTGCATATATGTACATAATTTTTTAAAAATCTTTGCAGACCATCTCACAGGGTTATTGTAGAAATTAAAAGAGTTGCTTCACATAAAGTGCTTAGAAGAGGTCCTGGCATTTATCAAGTGCTCTATATGTAGTACAGTACTAGGTACAGAATTGATGCTTATAAATATTAGCCGAGTGATTGAATCACGTTAGTCATACAGCAAAAGAGATAGTTTTAATACAACTCATTCATTATTTATTAATGCAATCAAAAGTTATTGAGCATTTGCTACATACCAGGCACTTACATATTAGGAGTGTACAGTGAGGGAAACAGAGGTCCCTACTCTTAAAAAGGTGACAATTCCAGTGAGAAAAGACACACCATAAATAATGAAATAAATACCAAGATAAAAATCTACTGTGATAAAAGCTAAGGAGAAAAGCAACTTGTAGTGGTTTAGGAAGATGGAATTACAAAAGGTTACATTTAGAATTTGCCAGAGAAATCAGAGGGTACTTTTAGGGTATTTCTATTGAAATACGGAGACTAACAGCAATAATAAGCTGACAATGATTATAAAACAACAACAAATAAAGCACACAATATGGCAAAGGCAACAGGTTAGGGGGTTTGAAGTCAGACTGACAACCTCTTTTGCCTCAGTTTCCTCACTTAAGTTGCAAATAATGGGAATACCAACATCATTCAGGGTTGCTGGGAGGATTAAGTAAAATATTATTTGTAAAACGCTTAAAATAATGCCTGACATATAGGCAGTGTTCTTATAGTCATATATTATTTCTCAGATAACAACATCTGTTAAGGGATTTCCTAAATCTAATAATAACTGCTACGAAATTTGAAATAAATTTTAAAAATTAAATTGAATTAAAATGGTAGGCTACCTGAATGAATTAAATATATTAGAAAGACATAAAACATGTATCACCAGAAAGGAAATGATCTATACTCAGGTGGTAAAAACATTTCAGTGAGTCATCATTTATTTCTTGAATATTGTTTTTACCATTCACTTTAGCCAAAATCTTCCCTCATTCTTCATACTATGTAATATTCCTCCTGGCACCTCTCTGATCTTAGTGAAGACATTTATTTGCCTTGAGGGTTATTACCCTTGCGGATTACAAGTGTTCCCACTTAATTGCCATCCACAAGTAAACTAAAGCTGCTCTTTCCCCTTAAAACAGCCCATTCTAGCCAA